CTCTTCCGATCTCAAAAATCGATCTGGATCAAATATCTCTGGATTTGGCCAAAAATTGGGATCTCTGTGAACTCCGTAGATATTAAGATGTATATTTGTCCGAGCAGGTAATAAATATGATTCTAAAAAGCATATTATAGAATAAGATAAAGTTTATAAATAATAATTATAAAAATTAAGTTTCATTAAAATTTTAAAAATAATCTATTCAATGCTGCTCAAAACACATAATGTACGTGAGAGAAAAATGAAAATTTTAAGTTGTTGAAAAAATTACATTAAAAAGAAGTTATCCTTTTATACTTCTAATATTATAATAACAATAATAAGTAACTAATGTATAGTACCAATAATAAACAAAAATTTTAAATGCTACTTAAGAAACTTGTTATATTTATTAAAATAAGATTAATTAGTGTACTTTTGTAATAAAAATACACATATCTTATCTTATAAATATTGATATATATATATATATATATATATATATATGTAATATATAATTTTTGATAACTTATTTAGTAATGTTTAAAAATTAAAATCTACAAAAATTGATTAAATACATACTTAATTTTACATCTTCCAAAATAATTCGTGATATATAATAAACGCTGGGATATAAGCGTAACGACTCTTTTATACATCTCTCTAAATATGGTAAATTTTGCAACGATTTCATGGTGAGTTTCCCTTGATTCTCTTGCATAACAGAATCGACTTCCTTTCGCACACGATCCTGTATTTTTATAGTGTTAATTAAAAAACCAATTCTTAATATTTTAATATTTTATGTGCAGAGATAGATTCTTATAACTTCTTTATTTTAAAGATTTATTGATTGATTTCTTCGAAGTTTACATAACTAATATATATATTATACTTAAAATTCATATTTAAAACACTACTTATTAAGTTAAAATATAAAAACAATTTAAAGATATACCCCAGCAAACAAAGATTATAACTATAATATTGCAGCAACATTAGTAACATTTTTGCAAAAAAGCTGGAATATTTCAATGTGCAATATCCTGCAACCTTGCAGTTATAGTTTATGTTTGAAGAGATACGTATATTTATTTTCGCCTTCTTAAAAATAAGAAAAATATGTTGTGTGTGCTTACATACTCACACAATAAAAGCTCATTATTTTAATAAATAATTTCTTGAAATAATGGAATATTAATTAAAATTACCCGGGAATTTTGTTTTGAATGTTTCATATAATTTTTCAGGATTTCTATACAAGGTGATTTTTTTAACCTGAAACTTTCAAATATATCGAAAAATAAGCACACTAGGAAAAAATGTTTCAGACAAAAGTTGTAGGGTTTCGAGGGGGACATAAGATGATAACATTGGTTTGATCCTGAGTGGCGTCGTCAAGGTC